ACATCCCACAGAAGAAAAGGGAAAAGAAAAGAAAACCCCCAAAATAAGGCAAACACCCTCTTCGTGTATAATAAAATAATGGGTTTTTTAGAAAATAGTCCCTTACATATTCAATAATTGCATATTACTTCCAAATCTTAAAAATAGCATACTAGTTCCTTATATCCTATGTGGTCATACAAAATGGTCCTTATATTATTATTTAGTTATAAACCTAACCAAGGTTGAGTTAACACCTAAATCAGTATCTGCAATCACAAAACGACCACTCTCTCCAACGTTTCAAAGCTTTGTGAAGCTTAACTTTGGGATATAGTTCTTTTCTAACAATAGAGAAGAATCCAAGTGGGTTTGAGTTTTTTTAAGCGGATATATGGTTTAAAATCGTTAAGAAAAGGGTTAGAGAACATAATAGAGAGTTAAAATGGCTATTTTGTCTCTAACCATCAAATTTGTTGGAATATTTCTCTCAAATCTAGCCTGTGTTAACTAGAAGGACCATTTTTCAAGACCCTATTGGATTTGAGGGACTAATATGCAAATTTTAATATTTGATGGACTATTATGCAATTACTAAAGATTTAAGGGACTAATATCTAAAAACTCCTAAAATAATTTCAACATTGCTTTGACAATGTTACATATAGCACTATGTGGTCTAGGCATTGGTACTAACTTCTAGAGTCTAAGCGCCTTGACGGGAACCTAGACGAAGGCCTAGGTGGTTTTTATTCTCTTTTTTAGTTGTAATAATTGATGGCAAATTCCAATATTATAGAAAGCTTAGATGATAAACTGGTTCTAGACGTATTTCTTTCTTCTATTAAGTGTTGATGGAGAAGGTTTGGTTAAAGGTCGGAGGGGGTAGAGGATATATTCATAGTAGGAGACTGCAGGAGTTTGGAGAAGGTTAGAAAATGTGGAGGTTGCAGTGTGGGAAATTGCGATCAAGGTCTAAAGGGTGCAGTCTATATAAGCAGCCCATACTCCCTTAGGTGCTCCTAAAACCTAGATGGGCAGTTCAAGTACCGCCTAGGTGTTAAGCTCTAGGCGAACGACCTAGGTACAACCTAGACCTAGACGCACATTTAGGCAGGCTAGATAGAGGCTTTTAAACATTGCGCTTTGATACTTTAAAAATAAGTATATTACTAATTTTGAATTTTGTATGATATAGAAAATGGACTATAAATAAAGATGAATATTTTAGTTCTTTATCACTTAATTATTTTTCTTTTTCTATTTCTTCTCCTCTCAAAAACCAATTCAACAACCAAGTAATGACTACGAAATTCATTTATAGTTCTAAATTCTTTATAGATCAAAATTTCAAAGTAATGATTAAATATACTATGAAATCCCTCCAAAAAGATAGTATGATTTACAATGACTTAATGAACATTTTTATTGGAACAATGTAGAATAAGTATATTTTTAGAAAATAATAATTTTAAAAACTTTATTGTTTCTTCTATTCATTAAAGTGAAAGTTGTTTTAGATAATTAAATGCATGTGATATGTAAGTTTTATCTTTGTCATCAATTAAAAAAATTAAATAGAATAATAACATTTCCATCAAAAAATAGAAAAAATAGAACATGTAAGTTTTATCTTTGTCATCAATTAAAAAAATTAAATAGAATAATAACATTTCCATCAAAAAATAGAAAAAATAGCACGTTACTTGATTATGGTTTGAAAAAATTTAGTGAAACAAGATAAAGTTTCAAACTAGAAAAAATAAAATAAAAGATAGGATAAGAAAATGTGAGAGGATGATACGAGTCGCCGTGTGAGCACATTTGATCGCAGAATTATCAAAGGTGGGTTGAGAAGAGGATAACAGAAACACAAGAATAATTCAGTATGTGGCGAAGAAAAATACCCTCTCTAGATTATGAGTATGAAAAGATTACAATCCTTCTCTCACAGTCTCACTAGAATCGAGAACAAACTCTCAATTCTCTCTAAACCCTAATCTCTCTTGATTGGAATCTCTCTTTTATTACATCTCCTTTATTAGAAACCCTAAACAATCCCTTATATAGGTGTAACAACGTAGATGACCAAGTGGTAAATAACCAAGCCCAAACCTAACAGGAATTCGTGCAAAAAGAAACCCAAACGAACCAGAAAACCTTCGATGAGTTGACTCACGACTGAGATAAGTCGACTCGTCCGAAACTAGACAAAACACAAAACCAGTAATGAGTCGACTCATGACTGAGATGAGTCGACTCGTCAGAGACTGGTGACAAACGGTTAGGTTTCGTGAGTCGACTCATGTCAGGCATGAGTCGACTCAACTTGATGAGTCGACTCATAACATGTTTGAGTCGACTCACGGGCTGAAAACTGGGGGCTTCGATTCTTCGATTCGCCGTTTTGTTCCACGCTTCAACCTGCGTTCCACTGTATTATTTTATACCTCTATTCTCAAGTTACCATGAGATTCATCTATCATCAAGCTCCCATAAGGATCGCTAAGTTTCGAAGAGAAAATACACCCGTATCAAAGGAAAAACAATATGATATCATATAGAAGTATGGAACAAGGTGGGGGAAAAGGTAGAAAAACCTGTATATTAGTAACCAATCTTAATAATTAGTTTTTATCCTCATTTTAATTCCTAATAAACCCTTATTCAGTTTTTAAACTTTTAAGTTATTTACAAACTAGGTGTGAAAGAGTGGCTAATTACTGTATTCTATAATTTAGGAATGCCAGAGAGAAAAAATCCGATGAAAATTTAATTTTCGAAGTGTCAAAATTGTTGGCAAATAATTTAAGGGTTATTTGGATTGGATATATACCCTCTAAATCTTCTATAATTGCATATTTACCCTCCTAATCTTCATAATCGCCAATGTACCACCCAAATCTTCCATAACTGCATATTTACCACCCTAAATATTCATAATTGTCAATATATGCCTCAATTCTTCCGCAATTGCATATTTACCCCAAATCTTCATAATTGCCATGTACCTCATTATTTTGTTAAGTCATTAAATATAATTTAAAAATACCTAAAATACCCCAAGGCGATGTTTATCAAGAGGAAAAGCTCTGGCGGGTCAGTGAATGCAATTATGAAGATTTGGAAGTAAATATGCAATTATGAAAGAATTGAGGGTAAATTGGCAAATATATACTAAGAAGTCGTAGTTGGGATCTCTGATGGTTGTTTGATGTAGGGGTGAGCATCGGTCGGTTCGGTTCGGTTTTTATCAAAATTTGAACAACCGAACCGAACCGCCTACAATTCAAAACCGAACCGAACCGTTACAAGTCGGTTCGGTTCGGTTCGGTGCGGTTTGTTCGGTTCTAAAAGTGAGCTTGCAATAGTCACACCGCCAACAGGTTAGTGGTCTGTGATAAGAGCAGACAGGGTATTGGGAACATCCATATGTTGAAGCAAGTTTCCGGCCAAAAAAATTAAAAGTTTCTATCTAATTTTACTAACCAAGGCAAGAACATAAGATAGTGACCTTTTTGAACATCACGGTGTATTGATTGTTTACGCAGGTTCCTTCTGGGAATATCAGAAGAGGGTTGTTGTCAACTCCTTGAGTGTGTTCTCTTAACCTGGAAAACAAAAGCTCCATCATTTACAAAATACGACTATGCATAGAGATTAACATTCTTATATGAGATAATCCGTACTTTCTGGCCACAATTTCACGATCTTTACACTCTGTATGCTTGAACTAGATACAACCTGCACTTTCCAAAATGATATTCTGGATAAATCCTACACCGTGAAATTAAATTTAAAGATGTCAATAGCAACTGTGTAAAATGTGTATGACTCAAGAATCACACTGTTAAAAAGAATGTGGAAAATGAACTACATGAATCCTTACCGACCCATCCAGGTTTTCATCTGCTCTAGAATGATGAAATCGATCATCGAAGCCCAGCATTGAGCCGAAGGATGTAAAATGATGAAATCAAGTTCTCGAAATACCAGTTTTACCCCTCCAACTAAAATAACAAGTGAACTTGATTTCTTGAGGTTGGATTTCGAGAAGCTCCTCCGTCTCCATCGCTCCCCACTCCGAAGTCGACAGCAAATCTACACAAAAAAGAGCATCAAAATTAGCCCAAAAAACTTAAATCTGATCCAAGAACAGAATCTGAAGACTGCGGAGTGCGGCACTGCGGCGGTCAGAGTGAGAGATTGGAACTGAGGAAGAGGGACTGAGGAGTTTGCTTGACGGCTAGCGGCGGAGTGCCGAGCGTCGAGGGCAGAAGGCCGAGCGGCAAGCGTCTCTGAGGTGCCAAGCGCGCGAGCCCTGAGCAGCGGGGACAGGCAGGTGCCGAGCCGACGAGCGCCGCGACAGGGAGTGAGAGTGAGAGGAACTGAGGAGAGGAAGCGGCGGCTAGGATTTTAGGTTTGTTAGAGGAGATGATATTTGAGTGACGGGTTGGATTTGAGGATTAACGGGGTATTGGATACTTATTCGGTCGGTTCGGGCGCGTTCGGCTCGTTGAAAAATTTTCAACCCGACCCGAACCGCCCTAAAGCTAAATCCGAACCGCTAATTTCGGTTCGGTTCGGTCGGTTTTTTCGGTTTGGACCGAACCATGCTCACCCCTAGTTTGATGGGTGTATTGACAATTATGAAGTTGTAAGGGATTAACATTCAATCATGGAAGATGTTAGGGGTATATAGCCAATTAGCCCGTAGTTTTATTATTACTTTTTATATTCCAGATAAACCATTATTTAATAGAATTTTGTTCGACAAAACCCAAAGAAAACCCAATTGTCAGGACCGCGATACAGCCGGTACCTTTACCTGCTCCAACCGTGATCCTCCGGTTACACTGTTTAAATTCACCTCGTCTCCGTCCCACTTTTTTTCTCTCTCATTCTACTTACTCCCCCCCCCCCCACCCCCCCCTCTCTCTCCTCATCGCCGGAGGTCGACGCCATCCGCCGCCTCCAGGGTTCGGATCGGCGAGGTTTTCAACTGACTTAGGGTTTCTTGATCTCGATCGTTGAATTTGGCGAGGTCATTTCTAGGGTTTTTGGTGTGGTTTTATGGCGAGTGAATGGGATTAGAGACCAAATGTAGGGTTTTTTTTTTAAATTTTTAATACAATCTTTGAAAAGGATGGGGATGTTAGGTTTTAGAGTTGGATTTCTACAATGCTGAGCTGGGTCGCAGCCAATTTTAGGGTTTCTTGGTGTTTTCAGAAGCTAAAAAATTCCTAGGGTTTTAAAGCTGGAGGTTTCTTGAAAATTTCGGGGAAAGTGAGAGCTTGACTAGACCCTAACAAGTTAAAAAAAAGTGGGAGCGATCAGAAGATTTTCGTGATCAGGTGCCAAGATCTCACGATAAAGGGGGGAAAAAAAGAAAAAGTTCCTGAGCATTGTCAATGTCGGGAGCTACAAGGACTCGGTCGATGAGTGCAGAAGAAGAATCAGAGGCCAGGCCAGTCCTCGGACCGGCAGGAAACAAGGCGAGATCGCCGTCGATCACTCGAAAACCAGCTTCAAAGCCATTGAGAAAACTTGAAAGAGCTGAGACTGGGAAGAAAGAGGAGAAGAAGAAGGAATCATCCCCTGTTCACGATTCACCCCCTCTCGTTTCGTCTCTAAGTGCTCCCTCTTCATTGTTGAGGAGGCAGGAGCTCCTGCTGCGTTCAAACTTGTCTTTGAATGCTTCTTGCTCTTCGGATGCTTCGACTGATTCGTTCTGTAGCCGGGCTTCTACTGGAAGGATTGGGAGACCAAGCTTTACCAATCGAAGGAGGCAGGGAGTTCCGAGGGCTGAGAAGATAGCATCGAAGCTGGAGAAGATAGTTCCTGATGGAGACGCGAAAGCTCCGCCTGAGTTTTTGCAGGGGAAGAGGAGGTGTGCTTGGGTCACACCCAATACTGGTAAGTTTCGTTTAGTTCTAGTAGTTTCATGCTTTTGATCAATGCATTTGAGATGTGGAATCAGTAATACATAGTTTCTTCAGAAGCTGGCTTTTCGGATTGATAAATGATGATTGTTCTCTGGGTCTTAAAATCTATATGATTTGCAAGTATTTAGTTAGTTTTGTAGTTACTTGCGTCGTATCACTGATTTCGTAATTTGAGACAGATTATTTTTTGGGGTTTGTTATCTTCTTCAGTCTGATTATTTGAATGGCTCTTGCTCTAGCCCCTGAAAACTATCTGCCCTCCCTAAGTGTGATATATAATGAAGTGATTCAACTTTCCAGCTTTTTAAGTGCTTACCGTTAGTGAGTTATAGTGCTGTGGAGGTTTTCCAGTGCTTGTTATTTCCCAGTGGATGGTTCTATTCAGGGGGAAATGGAGCTGGAGCAATATTTGGCCACAATAATTTTTGAAAGTGTTTACCACTTCACATGATTCTGATTGTTAGTTGTTGTGGTCAGTGGTTGGGGAAAAACGATAGATAAGAAATTAGCTTATGTTAGTGCTGGTGTGCATTTGCAGAAGTCTTAAGTATATGTTTCAAGTAACATTTTTGCCTTGACATTGATGGTAGGAGGTCATAATCGATGAGGAGAGGATACCTGCAACTAAATTGATAACTAAGATTATTTAAAAGAACTACTTCATCTTTTTAAGAAGTGAATATTGTTCTAATACTAAATGATTGATGCATCTTCAGAATGGATTAATATTAAAGGATGATAAACAAACTGCTTGCGCACATAATGCCAAATATCATGTTCCTAGGAGACTATGGTAATGAAATTTATCATTTCCAAGTTTTGAGTGAATTCGATATTCACTTTCTATATCTTATTTGGACCTCATCCTTATTTTTCTATATCCTTTGTACATGCACTAGTTCAAATAAAAGACAAATAGGGGAAAACATCACCTAAGATCTTATGTGTAAAAATATGTTCAGCAGACCTAGAACATAAACAAGCTATAGAGAAGCATTTTCCTTGTGAACTGAATTCAACCAGTTAATCCACAATATCAACAAAATAATATTCAGTCAACAAAATGTTTGCTCATTTAGCCATCGTCAGCTCAAAGATAAAACTAAGAAACAATCCAGGTTCACTGCTTGGGAGTCTGAAGAAGAAAACACTGCTAGATGTCTAGTATCAGGAGAGTGAGAAGCTGCTATGCAGTAGTGGTGAAGAAAACACCACTAGATGTCTAGTATCAGTAGAGGGAGAAGCTGCATTCCAGTATTGGTGAAGGGTTACTCTGGAGCTGGAGGAGAATGGTCTATTCCATCAACACCATTCTATTGAGTTCCTCTGAAAAAGATAACTGATAGGTGAAAGATCCTAGCTATTTGAACCGATAGGTGAAAGATCCTAGCTATTTGAACCGATAGGTGAAAGATCCTAGCCATTTGTTTTTAGAGGTGGAATGATCATGTGCCACAATCCAATTATTAAAGATAAGAGGATCAAAAAGTCCATTGACAGGTATACAATTTTTCTTGAACAGTCTATATCCTTTTTAGTTTACTTTACCTGGCAATTTGTTCGTCTAACCTCCTGCATACTGAAAAGTTTGACACATAGGCTCCCTATATTGTACCCTTTCTTCTGGTATGTTAAGTAATACTAGGTAGACATGTTTGTATGAAGGTAAAATATATTGATAATAGATTTAGTTTTTTTGTCTATCCTTCTAGTTGTTATGAATATTTTCACGAAGAAACAAGTTATTTGAATGTATTTATGCATAAGCCGAAGATTTAGTACCAAGCAATGCTTATCTTGCCTGCAAGCTAACACAAGGATCATATTATTGTTCAAAACTATTTGAGGGAAATGGAGTCCTAAATACTTATTCGTAAAAGCAAGTTCTCCGGATCATGATTCCTAAGAAGATCACTATGCTTGGCTACTTGGAGTGTACTACATGAATTGTTCTTAGCCAAGTGTTCTATTCAACACAGTGTGTATATGTTGCACTGCTTGCATAGAACTCCCTCTCGTGTTATTTATGTCAATGAATTTTATATTCGGTATCCCCGTTAAAGAAAAGATATGAATATGATCCATAGGCTAATGAACTATAATATTCTGTACTACTATGTAGCTATTATACATGGTTTGATACACTGATTGTTGAAGTCCTCTTTACAAGCTCTGTCTGAAAATGACACTAAGCAAATGCCTTCTTGCTAGTAGGTGATCCAGTTGTTCTACTGCTTACATGAATTTTTTTTTTGACATTAAAAAATTTAGTACTCATTGCATTATCTATATAAGACAACGTGAAAAGGTATCTGGTATTGAAATATATTGACCTCTGTGCCAAGAAGTAGCTGTTTTGCTCAAATGAATGTCGAAGACCAATGTTTTTGGGTCAGTGAATTGGTAAATATATAGAGTATGGTGGTTATCACCAAATCTACCACTTTGCGCTGATGCTTCAGTAGCTTGATGCTCGCATGGGGTATGTATGAGATGCTAAGTTGCTCTATCTGCTTGGTGGATACGTATTTTGAGCTGCTAAAAGGTTATTATTTAATGAAACTTCAAAAATTGTAGATTTAAGACATGATTGATGGGGTTCACAAATTGATTTGATTTGTTGGCATTTATAATTTGTCTTCTTTTGGTAAAGATAAGTATGTATACACTTGAAGCAGAATACTTAAAGAAGAACTGAATATTAGCCATTTTTTCGACTGATTGATACTTATCCTACATTCCTGCAGGTGCCTTCATATCACGAAATGCACTTGCAAAATTCATCATCAATATTAATGTGGATGCACAAGTTTTTAAGCAGTGAATTGCTTAAAGTATTAAAACTTGTTCCTAAAATTTAATCTAAACTCACTGCCTCTATGTGTGTGCATGTGTGTGTGTGAGTTTGTGTGTGTGTGTTATATCTATATGTGCGTGTGTGTACGCACACGCGCACAAACACGCACATGCATGCATTAAATCTCCTCTCTAGATGCAGATACATACACGTATACCCAAATTCATACATACAATTAGAGCGTTGCTATACCAATATACATGTATATGATTATTTAAAATTTTGTATCTGTAATGTAATAATCAGATATAATGCCGTCTGTTGTATAGATATCTTGTACAACGACCAAATTTTCCATTGACAGCACGGTGAAGTTTGAGATTAACAAAAATTCTCTATCAAACACTTGTCAGAATGCAGATCAATTCCTTTTTCTCTAGTCTCATGTACCTTTATTTGCTTTCTTCTTGCAGCTATGTTCAAAAGCATCCTGCCACTGACTGCTGATTTTTCCACTGACATGTTAATGTAGAGTGATTTTATGTCCTACAAAAGTTTTATCTACCAAACACATTGTAAACCAAACCAATCCCTTTTGCCCTTGTCTCATATTGACTCTTATCTTCATTTCTTACACATTGTCTCGAACAGATCCTGCCACCCTCAAACTATTCAATGCCTTCTGCCTCATCCCTCCTCAACACCACGAGGAGAGAAAAACATTCAATCGGACAAACTTAAAGAACTTATTTCAGATCCCTTCATTGTCACTCTTGGTAATGCTTCAAAAGCATGATCTACATCTTTCCTTCGCTCCTGTCTTTTCTGGTTTAATAGGTTAGGAACTTGGACATTTTGGAGATGTTTTAAGTCAACAACTAGTTATATACCTTCAAGTTTTAAACTAGTCTTATCGATCTGGTTAAACAAAATTGGATGAAGTATTATGTTCATTTATTTTGTCAATGCTAAGTTCTCTGGTTCTATTCTCAGCTGTACGGTAACTACTTTGTTCAGTTTGAAGTTTAAGGTAGGAGAAAGTGTAAAGTCTTGTTTAATTTGTTCCTACAGATCCAGGTTATGTTGCCTTCCATGATGAGGAATGGGGTGTGCCTGTTCATGATGACAGGTATGCAATATCAAGTTCTCATAGTTCTCATCTTGATTCAAAATATATGAAATAGTTGGCAATGGTAATGTTTGAAAAAATATTCTTAGTGTCTCTTATATCCTTAAAATTTACAGGAAACTGTTTGAGTTGCTCGTACTATCTGGCGCATTAGCTGAACTTACATGGCCGACAATCCTCAGTAAAAGGCACATATTTAGGTACCTCTACTGCCTGCAAAATACCATTGTTCAGATAAGAATTTGCACTATTTTGTTATTTCCTTGTCTGACATTTCTCTGCAGGGAGGTTTTTGTGGATTTTGACCTGGTGGCGGTCTCTAAATTGAACGAGAAGAAGATTATAGCCCCTGGAAGCACCGCCAGTTCCCTATTGTCAGAGCCCAAATTACGTGCCATTATCGAGAATGCTCGCCAAATACTAAAGGTATGTTCTCTTCTCCCATCTTTCAAGATATTGATTTAGTTGTTTATGCATAAGCATGTTGCTTGAAGCTGAATCTTATGCGTGAGCCTGCTTTAGGGTTTAAATTGACTCATGGTCTTCTATGAAATGGGATAATGTATATCACTTTATTTTTTTATCTAACATGCGATAAGCTTCTGGATTAATCCCTTATGAATCAGTAGCTTATACTCCCAACATTATGAACATCTCAAACCCATAATGACACAATTATTTATCATGGTCAAAACTGAACCTGAATCATTCAGATAGAATCACTTGAGAAAAATATAGAATGCTAACGAGAGTTTTGATTTTTTGTAAAATCTTGCATTGGGAATTTTTTTTTACAGCTGACAGAGTTTTATTGATTCTGATGACCATAAGAAGTTCCTATCATCCTCTATTCATATTCAACTCTTAACTCCTTCCATCATGATCTGGCCCTGTTTCCCTGCTGTGGATTGAATAAGAGTTTTGAGTCATGCTATTAGCATGACATTTAGTTGGTCTGTTGTTTAGTTTTTTTGTGCAGATTAACAAATATTTACTCTGGATTATTACCTTTTTCTTCCTTGTTCCTTATTCTCTTGACAGTAGAAATATTTATTAGCAGCTAAGTGAGAACAAGTTTTCATTTTTTGGTCAGTGTCTTAAAACTTTGTGGATGCTGGAGAACCTGATGTCAGTATTATATAATAGAGCACCATTGATAGTTTGATCGTCTTTTGAGCTGTTGTTAGGTCTCCATAGCTGGATGTGCTTTTATTTGTAGTGATGACCACAGGCACTCTCATGTCTGAGATTCTCTTTGCCATTCATCAAAACAACATATCTAATTGTCACCTTTGAATCATTTCTTGTCCTGTGCATTGTAGATTATAGAGGAGTTCGGATCATTTGATAAATACTGCTGGGGTTTTGTGAACCACAAACCAATTACAAGCAGATTCCGCTACCCTCGACAAGTACCGGTCAAAACTCCCAAAGCCGAAGTCATCAGCAAGGATTTAGTAAAGAGGGGTTTTCGCAGTGTGGGGCCCACCGTCATATATACCTTTATGCAGGTTGCGGGTCTGACCAACGACCACCTCATCACCTGCTACCGCTTCGATGAGTGTGCTACTGCAATCACAGCCACAGCAACAGCAAGCAGTAATGACGAAGTGTGTGCTACCAAGGATAATAATAATAATAATGATTGCAAGGAGGTAAAGAAAAACGATGAGGATGTTGATTTCGAGTTGTCAATATCTGTGGATGGGCTGAGCTTCTCGTCATCATAGCGGAGATGGGGTGATTTTCATGTAATTTTGGTTTGAGGTAGTGGTGATGGGTTCTGTATAAAGATTTATGAAAATTATGCAACCTGGCTTGTATATTTTCCTTTACGTTGTTAACAAAGTTGATCATGTTTCATTTGACCGAGGTTCCACATTACAGTGAATTCAGATTTAGACCGCAGCTTAAGATTTGGTTTGAACCGTTTCCAGTGATGTTGCTCTTTGAAGAGTACCTTTGTAAACTGCAGGTTGTTAACTCTTCTACGGATAAATTTCACCAAACCGAAGTATGGCTCATTTTCGGATGACCCCGTACAAGTTTGGAAATATCATTTAACCTCGAAACTCTTTCAGTATATGGCTAAAATACCAAATTGTTATATTTAAACGAATGTTTTTGTCAGTTTGGTATTTTTAAAAACTCCGGCGACAAGGCATTAAAGCTCGACCTTTTTGTTAATAAGGCATTTTTCTCAAAACTTCGGTTAGAAATTTTGTTTTAAACCCCTTACCTCCCAAAATTATTAAATTTGTACCCTCCCTCTTCTCCTCCTCCTCTCCAATTCCCCTCTTCCTCCAGCGTACCATCGTCCTACTCCTCTCCTCCGTCCCCATCTCCCTCCTCTGGATCAACCTCGGCCCCCTCATCCCCTCCCTCTCCTCCTCCTCCTCTCCCATTCCCCTCATTCCCCTCCTTATTTTTTTATCTCTAGTGCAGCCTGTTGGAGTGGTTGCAGCAATTACCCTGTGGAACTTTCCTTTGGCCATGATTACACGAAAAGTTAAAATTTAAAACAGTTAATGGAGCTGCTTAAATATTCACATAATTAAGACTATGTCCTTACTGATGATTATGTTCGTTAACTAAGGTATTATCTCCAAGAGGTCGGCCCTGCCTTGGCTTGTGGGTGCACGGTGGTTGTTAAGCCATTTGAATATACACCCCTCACTGCATTAGCTGCAGCGGAGCTATCTATTCAAGCTGGAATGGTGCAAAAAAATCTAAAGTGCAAAAAAAATCTGAATAGGATAGTAGTAGTAGTAGTAGAAGGAGGAGGAGAGGGAGGGGATGAGGGGGCCGAGGTTGACCTAGAGGAGGGAGATGGGGACGGAGGAGAGGAGGACGATGGTGCGCTGGAGGGAGAGGGGAATGGGAGAGGAGGAGGAAGAGGAGAGGGAAGGTACAAATTTAATAATTTTGAGAGGTAAGAGGTTTAAAACAAAATTTCTCGCCGGAGTTTTGAGAAAAATGCCTTATTGACAAAAATGTCGAGCTTTAATGTCTTGTCGTCGCCAGAGTTTTTAAAAATACTAAACTGACAAAAACGTTCGTATAAATATACCAATTTGGTATTTTAGCCTTCAGACAACCCTCATAAAGTTGGTGCTTATCTGAAAGTAATTCAAAAAATGCAAAAGTTGTGAGGGTTAAAATGACATTTTCGAACAATTTAAGGTCATCCCAAAATGGACAAAATCTCTTGGGAGGTTCTGTGGAAATTTACCCTTCTCTTGCACCAAGAATGAGCATTGAGTTTGGAGAAATGATAGAGGCACACTCTCCACCACACCTTCAACCACACCTCCCCTCCTGCTACAGTGCACCGGGGCCCACTTGAGATTTAAATTTTAAATCTCAAGTGGGTCCCGATGCACTGTAGCATGAATTTAAATCTCAAGTGGGCCCCGGTGCACTGTAGCATGAGGGGAGGTATGGTTGAAGGTGTGGTGGAGAGTGTGCCTCTAGTGCCTCTCTTGAGTTTGTAAGCTGCACGTTGTGAACTTTGTAAGCAGCATCCGAATTTTGATTTATACTGCGTATAAAGCTGAAAGGATATTTGATAATGAAATGCCGTAGTTGGGGGATTTTGAATTGGCACTCAAAACTAACTGTAAGTACAAAAGTTCACACCACAAACAAAAAAACGCAGGTGAATATATGTGCACGCATTTGAATGTTGCAGGCCTTGAAAGACACTTAATAACTCCACTGACTTGGAATTTACATCACAACAGAAAAATCTACAAGTGAATATGTTTGCCTCTGAATGAAGGTGAGAGCATACTCCGGTGACTTACAGCTCCGAGGTTCTACTGCCTTCTGCTAGTCATTTGCTCGACTATTTCTTTCCATCTAATAACAATAGGAAGCAGTCAATGCTTGCTTGATCACGCTTTCATGAACGGTGATGATTGCTCTCAAGTTTTATGTAGTCTTAGGGAGCACGCAACCCCCGTCATGTTAAGATTTTCTGAAAAATATCACCAAAGATAAGAATTAGGATGCAACGGAAATCAGACTAGATTTATTCCAACAATAAATTTAATGAAGGTATATCAGTTCAATAAGAAAAATCCTTTTTATTTTTTGCCATGAAAGTATCAGAAGATCGATTTCGAGCGAAAGAAATTAGTGAGAATTTAGATCCTTGGTTTGGCAATAAATTTTACGTCTCGTGGTAAAAAGGCCTCGGTTTCTAACAGCTTCCCGTAAGACAATTATTCCCTTGTTAGTCATGACAAACATGCTTCTTGCGTGTCGAAAGATAAGACTTATCGATGCAATGAATGCCTCAGATTTCAGTCTTCGTAACTTTCTTGATGGCCAAGTTAATTCAGGGGGGGATCGGTATTCATACTCAAATATAATACTAGGTTTGCAGGAAACTAACATACCAATAAATCAGAATTAACAGTACCCGATTCGAACTATTATCCTGCAACGTACCTTAGATTTCTGTACTAATCCCTGCCAAGACAGACAGATGCATGTACGTACGCACGCGAGAATAATTAGCTTTATAATTTGCCGCGCAGGAGGTACTTACTTTCCTAAGAGCAAGTGCAGCAGCCTCCCAAGGAGGCTCCTAAGTCCTAGTTGGCAGTAAGGTCCACCAGGAAGCTCCACAAATTTGTGGAGCACTTGGGAGGAAATACATGAAACAATAAATGTTTTTGAGTACCGCGCCGGGATCAACAAGTTAGTTTCGACAAACAAATGCAGTGACATAAACATATGATTAAGTTAGCGAGCTTCTTCCATCTGACCAGAGTAAACTACGACGACTTTAAATCGCACAATCAGAATCGCGGAAAGGAAAAAAGATTGAACACGCACCTTTTTTTTTCTTCCTTTTTTGCTGTCATCGGCCAAAAGTCAGATCGGTCAGTTTCCATCGCAGAGAAACTGTACAAAAAAAAAACACAGCTAGAAATGGAACCATAATCCTCTTTCTTTTATTTTTATTTTTTTATGGCCATACAAGGCTACGAGGATAAAATGAAAATAAGGCTTCCGCTTAAGACACGGACACCCCGAAAGCAGGTGTACACGTCTAAAGCTCAAAGAATCCTTTAGCGATCGCTGAAAATAACTAATTAATAATTTCCCGAAGCTCCCCATGCCCATCAGCGAAGTGATGGAATAATCAACACTTCCATCTTCATCTTAACTTTGGGGCTCACGAGATCCATCTCCACTTTGCTCTTGAGAGCACCTCCTTCCGTCATATTCATTGGATCCTATTAATGGAAGTTTCTTATTCCAACAAGCGCTGCGCGTGCGCACACACACGCAGAGAGAGAGAGAGAGAGAGAGAGAGAGAGAGAGGAGAGGGGTGGAAATCACACACCTTGAATTGATAGATCTGATTAAAAAAAAGAGGAAGAAGAGCAGAGGGCGGCGGCTCTTTGGAGTACAGGAATCGCCAGCTGAGGGAATTTACGGGAGAGAGCTATTTATAGACTTATCTGAACGAGGTCTGACCTAATTAGTCAGCAGTTACATTATTGTCCTCTCAAGGATAGGTAAGTTTGTACGTTGTACTTAGAAAAAGTGGTAGCCCTTAGTTTAGGGGGGAAAAGTGAATCAAGAAATTTTCTTTTTTTTTGCAATTTTTATTTATTTATATTGAGTATAACACTTCTCTATCTCGTAGCATAGAACTAGCATGAGAGCATACCGTAGTTATTACTATAGAAAAGGAGCATGATATTTAAAACATAAAAAAAAGAGGAGAGGAGAGTATCGGTTGTATTATTTTAACCCTATTTTCCTACAGTTTGTTTTCCTACTATAATCAGGATGTCAGAATGAGAGTTTGACGCTAACTTTATCGTAAGTATAATTTTAAGAAAGGAGTAAAATAAATGTTTTCTTTGCCAGCCGTACATTACAACTTGGCAAAAAGAAATTGCTTCCTATGTATGCATGTGTTTGTGTATGTATATTAGTTTGGCTTTCGGAACTCGTTTATTCAAACATGAGAAATAATGAAATAACAAATATTCGGACGTACATTGAATAACATTGTATGATCCTTTATGTTATTTATTTCTCTTTTAAACTAGATATATGTATAATAGTAGTGTTAAGATGTCTTGGATCCTAACCTATCAATCATTATATCCAATTTTTGTTTCCATTTTCAATTGTTTTAGGACCTTTAATGAGGATATTTAGGGGACTTTGTTTTTGGAAACAATTCTAGAGGTATACGGTTTGCTTTCAACTGTCAGTTATAAATAGGATGTGAACGTGGGGCCACATCCACACCCACTTGATTGCCAGCTGGGAGCTTCTGAGGTGGGAACTTCGGAGGTGAACAAATTATTCAAAGACGCGTTTTCTGATTGAGTGGGGGCCACACCCGATTGCTTGCTTCCTTTAGCTCGTGAAGAGATTTGTTTTTGGCATGGGGACCACAAAACGTATGGGAGGCTAGGGAAGGGAAATGTCCAGCGGATCTTTGATTGAGATTTGTTCTTTGCGCGTGATTAGCAGGCAAAAGAAAGCCCACCCGATTCATGTGAAGAGCTATAAATAACGACGTGAGTTTCTAGGGCTCTGTGTGCGAAGTGAGGGGACGAAAGAAAAAGAAAAGGCAGGTGGTTGTACAAGGAGCAATGCAAGGCAGGGACTTCTGTGTAAAGAGGGGCTGTGTGCAAGTGCTAGGAGCCGACTTTTGGGTAAAAGAGGGCTTCATTGCTGCAGAGGGCAAACGCAGAAGAAAGTTTGGCTGTTGTCCTTTGGGTTTTGGCGGCTGTTCTTTGGGTTTTGGCTGCTGTCCTTTTGTGAGAGGTTTAAGAGATTGTGTGAGGGTTTAGATTGTGTGATTGCACAATAAGTGGTATCAGAGCTCCGGGTTGGACTTGGGAGATTGTTCGAAGGATTCGCTATTGGATTCTTATTTGAAGAGTTAGATCTACAACATGGGTGAAATAAGCACATCAGGATCGTCTCTTACGAAGACGATACATAGTTTGAGCATCAATAACATGAAGATCGATGTTCCGAAGTTTGATGGCAAGATCAATTTCGGTTTGTGGAGGTGTCAGGTGATGGATGCGTTGGACGCTCAAAACTTAGAAGAGACTCTTGAGTTGCAAGAGAAACCTGCTGATATGGAAGAAAATGTTTGGAAGAAGATGAATAGTAGGGCGTATGGGGTTATTCGATCATGCTTGATGCCAGATCTTATTTATGATTTGATGAATGAGACGTCGGCGAAGAAGATGTGGGAAACACTCAATGAAAGTATTTTATTAAGAGCATTGAGAATCGGCTTAACTTGAAGAAAATGTTTTACCAGTTCAAGATGAAGAGGGGAGTTTCCATCAGGGAGCATGTTAACAACTTTACGAAGCTACTTTCAGACATGGCCAATGTGGATATCATGGTTGAGGATGAAGACAATGCGATACTACTTTTGTGTTTGTTGCCTGAGGATGATTATGGTACCTTTGTTCTCACTATGATTAATGGAAGAACTACTGTTAGTTATAAGGAGGTGACCTCAGCGTTGGTGAATTATGAGTTGAGGAAGAGTATTGATGAGTCCTCCGAGAAGGCATCGGGAGATGCATGAGTAGTTCAAGGCCGTGGTTCAAACCGAAGAAGGAGGTCACAGTCTAGAGGTGCACATCGTAGGATTCGTAGGAATCAGTATGCTTTTTATAAAGAGGATGAATATTGGAAATCTGAATGCCCAAAGTTAGATCGAGCCGAGAAGAATAAGAAAAAAATTGTACAAGCTTCAGAGGTGAATGTTGTCAAGACTAGTAGCAACAATTCAGATTCGGATTCTTCAGGCTATTCGTTATCCGCACTACCATCAGTTTGTGATGCCGACTTTACGGAGTGGATGTTGAATTTGGGTGCTTCTTATCATGTTTGTCCTAGGAGGGATTGGTTCTCCAGCTTTCAGAAGTTAGAAATAGAGGATGTTGTGCTCATTTGTAATGGACATGCATGCTCTATTGGTGGTATTGGTACTGTTTCGGATTAGGATGAGTGATGGGATGATGTGAGAATTGGATGATGTGAGGTTTATTCCGCAATTGAAGATGAACATCATTTTACTTGGAGCTTTGAAGATAGTAGGCTATAGGGTGACCTTGGTGGATGCACGCTTGAAGGTCATATTGGGGTCCATGATTATGATGAAGGGCGTCAGAAGGAGCAATTTGTATTATTTGTTCGGAAGCACGACGATTGATAGGGAGCTGACGACTTTATCAGATTCGACTAGACTGTGACGTTATTTGATGCTGGGTTGTTTGATTGGTGATGCCATGTATAGGTTGTTGAGGAGTGCTTTGACCTGTAGTTTGAAGTCCTGTGAACCCATTGGTATGAGCAAGAAGACCGATGTGGAGTTTGGCACTTCTATCCATCATTCGAGGGATCTTTTGAGGGATGTTCATTCAGGTATTCGGGGGCCTTCCAAGGGAGCATCATTGGGAGGTAATAGGTATGTGATTTTTACAGTTAGGGATTGCTCTAGGCATTGGTGGGTTGCAACCAAGTCCCGTTGGTGTGAAGTCCTAGAAGCTCGTAACAGATGGAGGAAGTGTGTTGGTAGAAAGGTAACCCGACGTTCTGATTATGGTAGGGGTTCTTTCTTGCATTTGTGCCGAGCTCACGACAATAGGAGACACTTTATTGATGTGGAAACTTTGAGACGACGAGGCGAGATGGCAGATTTTGAAAGTTGTTCCTTGCTGGAGGAGGATCGACGTTTAATGTCGAGTATTGACATTGGTGTGCGGGCTACAACATGTTTGGGCCATCTTATGTATAGGTTACCGACTGCTACATATAGAGATATGGGATTTGGTGGAGCTGCTTCAGATTTTGGGTTACGTCGGATGTTTGGCTACCCAATATTTGGTCACATCGTGGATGTAAGATTTGATCCGATAGCATATTTGGGAGTCGGAGGCATGTTTGATTATCAAGTATTGGTTTCTGACTTTATTCTGAGTAGATATGTCATGTTTGACTCTTGGCAGGTGGAGAGTGATGATCAGATCTTTGGAACATCGCAGCGGGTGGAGAGTGATGCTACTCCACGTTGGGTGGAAACTCCAGATCATACTGCATTATTTGGGATTCCAGCTGATGTGACACAGATTAGGAATCATGTTGTTTCGGATGTAGATGATAGGTTGATCGTTTTGAGTGCAGCTGATAGATACAGTTTGGATATGACCATTGGTTTACCTCAGGTGGAGGTGTTTGAGGCCATTGGAGGTGCTATCAGCCGCAGACTTGATGATATTGGAGAAAAGTTGCGAACTCTTCTATTAGATTGAGGTTGTTCACGACCATTTGGGTGAACTACGTGAGGCTTGATTCCTTGGACAAGAGGATACGTAGGCAGTCTTTATGATGCAGCCGATTTGGTGAGTTGATACCGATATTTGGAGAGTGTTCGCATTCTCATTTGGGTTCTCGACTTATTATGGATTGAATCTGTTGTCGTGAATTGTTTCACTTCATACTGGACGCAACAAGTGAGACTTTTGGTTTGGTTGGTGTCGGCTCAGTTTTGTGAAAACTTCACCGAGGTGGAGAATTGTGAACGTGGGGCCACATCCACACCCACGTGATTGCCAGCTAGGAGCTTCAGAGGTGGGAACTTCGGAGGTGGGAACTTCGGAGATGAACAAATTATTCAAAGACGCGTTTTCTAATTGAGTGGGGGCCACACCCGATTGCTTGCTTCCTTTAGCTCGTGAAGAGATTTGTTTTCGGTGTGGGGACCACAAAACGTATGGGAGGCTAAGGAAGGAAAATGTCCAGCGGATCTTTGATTGGGATTTGTTCTTTGCGTGTGATTAGCAGGCAAAAGAAATCCCACCCGATTCATGTGAAGAGCTATAAATAACGACGTGAGTTTCTTGGGCTCTGTGTGCGAAGTGAGGGAATGAAAGAAAAAGAAAAGGCAGACGACTGTACAAGGAGCAGTGCAAGTCAGGGACTTCTATGCAAAGAGGGGCTGCTGTTAGACCCTAGAAGGGGGTGATTAGGGTCTTAAGGCTAAAAAGTGTAATAAAAATTAAGACAAGCAACAAACTACAAAATGAACAACAATAGAAATAGACATAGAGTAAGGAATCGTTATCCTTATGACGCGCGATGTATTAACGAGGTTCGGTCCGCTGATATATGTCCCCGCTCCCCACTCTCGAGGAGAAATCCACTACACAACCCGATTTGGAAGCCGAAACTTCTTCTACACAACGATCTCCTCACGATCTCACAACTACACAGTTGATCTCCACTAGATCACACTCCCACATAATTGATCTTCACAAGATCAAGCTCTCAAACAGTAGCAATAGTGTAAAAGCTCTCTCTTTACAAGTCCCTACGGCAAAGAGAAAGATTAAACTGAAGCTGGGATGTGAACTTGAGAA